GGCCGCGCGCCGTGGGGTCGGGAGCGGGAGGCGGTGGCCGGACGCCGAAGGCTTGGTGGCAGATGGCGTGGAGCGCGCCCGCGGGGCCCGGAGGCCTGGGCACTCGTGGTGGGGCCGCGGGGGAGGGGAGGCCGGGCTGGCGGCCTCGGGCCCTGCTGGCCCTGCTGGCCTGGGATCCTGGGTGGGGGAGGGAGGCCGTCTGGACCCCGGTGGACCCGGCTTGGCTTTGAGGCTTGGGAGGTGGTAACCAGAGACGGGGAGACTAGGAAGGGGGGAAAGTCTCACATTTCGTCTGCCCCAGTTATCAAAGATGAGTAGTGCTGAAAACGCATTCTTTGCCTTTTTTCCCCTCCAGAATTATTAACTCTTTTTATTTGCAAGTGTCGGGGATCCTGCCGCCGAACACGGATTACACGTTGAGACTCCTTTGGTCGTGAAGATTTTTGCATTAGAGCTCTTCATATCTTGGCTCACATTCCAGATTTCACGAATCGTCTGGGTTAACCGTCTTGGAGTTGTGGGCCTTTGGAGCCGTGTACACTTAACCTCATTATCTTAAATAGAATTTCATTCTTAAGAAAGTTCCTTAAATGTGTGCTACAGTTAAAAACAACGTCACGGAGATCCACGAGATTGTCAGTGTTCGTAATTTTTCAGAGTATCTTTTTGGTGGCAGTATGAGGCACAGTGATTTTTTTAGATACACCTCCTTTGTGGCTCTGTAACCTTCGTTTTTTTCCCCCTCGGTACAACCGGGAGTAACAAGCTTAATTGAGAACGAAATGGTTATTTAGCTGGTCATTAAGTGGGCTTGATTGTTGTTTTCTGTTAGGTTTTCCATCTTTAATTGTTTAAGAAACAGAATTTCTAGCCATTTTTTAAAAAAATGCAGCAGAAGATGAAGTTTTGTTAGATGTAAAAATACGGAGTATGATACATGCTTAGTAAAGTTACCAAATCCCAAAACACAGTTGCCGTGGAATTAATTTCACCTTCTGCTGATCCTGTAGGAGAGAGTTGAGTTAGTTTCCAAGGTTGTACAGCCATAAGGTAGCAGATTGCCATGTCTTCTATGGAGCCATTGGGAGGTTTGAACTGCCAGCCTTAAGGTTATCAGCTGAGCACTTAATCACTGTGACATCAAAACTTCTAATAAAGATATTTAAAAACCTTCAAGCTCATTGCTCTGAGTCGGAGCTCGGGCAGGTTTTCAAATTGTAAATCACCCAAGTGGAGGACGCTTACCTTGTCTCCTGAAGAGAAGCTAATGGATTAAAACTGTCAGAGAGATAGACAAACATTTGGTTAGCTGCACACCTCCCTACCCACTAGGCCACCAGAAATGTGCCGGTTATGTGTGAGAAAACATCACTATTCTCAGATATATTTAACTAGATTAATATTGGCTAATAGAATCATGTTCTCTCTTAACATTTCTTCATATTTTGTATTAAATTGAAGGATGAAAGTTTAAATACCTGCACTGGTTTTAGACACAGCTTTGTTTATTATCTCACACTGTGTGCTGTTTATTTTACTTCAGTTCTTTGTTACAATAGATGTGTTGGTGCCACAGTACTTTTACCATAATTGATATATTACCCAGAATTACTGAAACCCGAGGAAGTGTAACTATGAGCGGATTTGTTGAATTTAACCAGTGAGTTGTCACTTCTCCAAGAAATTTAATTTTTATAAGTAGATTTCCGTACATATGCATTATGATGCTCTCTGCCGCTAAAGGAAGGCAATGAGTTACATGAGTATGAAAGTATATTTACAGTAGTTTCTTTCATAGAGTCCATTGTTAAAGAGTGTAGCACCTTCAGCATTTTGTACAGCATCCCTTTTCAGCATTTTGTGCCACATCTCTTAAAGAGAACCCTGGAATAATTTTCTTACTATAAGAAAATAATTCTGTATCATTCTCTTGACTGGTACCATGCATTACCTTTATTATTAACTGTTAGAGGCAGTAAGATTGGCACAGGATAGAGCAGGGTTGAGGGCTGTTGTAGATAGGGTCGCTATGAGTCGCAAGTGTCTGACTCGATGGCACATAACAACAACAATTAGGCTGGGGCAAGAAATGAAAAATGTTTAATACTCATTTTCTCCCTAAGCCTCAAAAATGTTTTTCAAGGTCAAGCTGTTTTGTTTTATTCAATCTTTACTATTTACTCATTTTTTTACTACAACTTTTCCAAAAAGTAAAAAAATAAAACCACAAACCAGTTAAAATGTTAATCAGTACAGGGAGACTTTTAAGTTCACTGCTTGTAATTTAGTGTGAGAACCAGGTTGTTGTTGTTTAATGGTGTCCAGTCGTAGACGACTCATAGCGACCCTATGAACGAACAGCCTGAGCACTGTTCGTGCATAGTTTCCGGAGGCAAGCCATTTTGGAAGTGGATGCCACACCTGCTTCCAGGCTTGATTTAGTCGGGAAGCTCCAGCAAACACTGTCCACCATGGGTGCCCATTACCACGATTGGCACTTCACTGTCACAGGCTTCAGCATCACAGCAACCACGAGTTACCTCTGTATAGCAACGCACAGACCAGTGCTATACCACCTAGAAGAATGTTTGACAGGAAGACAATTTGAACCAGGTACCCAAGAATATTAATAGATTTTAAATACAAGATAGTATTTTAATGGGAGCTATAGGAAAATTTTATCACGATTTTGTCTCACTGATAAAATGAAAAGATTTTGACCTCTGAAAACCCTCTGTTTTAGCTACTCAAAGCTTTGTTTTTATTTTCAAGATTTTTAACTAGCAGGAACTAAGGAAATTAAGGAAGCCATTACAGACTTTTTTTTTTCTTCTTTAGTGTTTGAGGTGAACATGTGAGAAAGTAAATATAAGAAACTTTTGAGGGATCAGGGGATTATGGAAGTGATTCATTTGTTGAAAAAGTTAGATGTTAACTGAGCATTGCCTGGCATTGTCAGAGGAGTAATAGGCTAAGTAGAACATGGTCAGTGCCTTCTGGGAGTTTTTATTGGCCTACTTAGAGCTCAGTGACTATAACACTGGGGTGCAGATGGTTGGGAAAGCAAGATTTGTTTGATGGTGTTTTTATGTTATCTTTTTACTGTCACAGTGCCCCACCCCTCCTTTTAAAACAGAAACAAAACCTAGAATAACTTTTTCCTGTTTCATAACCATTTTATATTAAACTTTTTATTATTAATATCCATTGTCCTTACTGCTGTTTTTCTACAGTCATTTTAATGTAATAGTGTAAATAATGTTTTTCCTCTGAGATTTAAAAAATACAGAAATAAGTGATGTGTGAAAGTGGAGGGTATTGTGAAAGAATATTCTTAAATATGCCATGTTCTTAATCCGTGCCCTCAGGTCAATTTTGACTCATAGCGACCTAGTAGGAGAGAATAGCACAGCTCTATAGGGTTTCTTGACACCTTTATGTTTGCAGCAGTCAGCAAATCAAAAGACCTATTGCATTAGGAAAATCTACTGTCAAGGACCTCTACAAAGTTTTAAAATTAAAAGGCAAGGATATAAATTTAAAGACTGCTCCAAGCCATGATATTTTTCAGTTGTTTTGAATGTGTCTAAAAGTTTGCAACAATGAATAAGGAGGGCCAAAGAAGAATTGATGCTTATGTATTGTGGTGTTGGCAAAGTGTATTGAATATATCATGGACTGCCAAACTAACAAACCAGTCTGCCTTGGAGGAAGTGCAGCATAGTCATCCTTAGAGCCAAGGATGGTGAAACATCTCCATACTTGGATCCAAGTGTTCAGGAGGGTCCATACTTTGGAAAAAAGCATCATGCTGGAAAGTGAAGCAGGTCAGAGAAAGAAAAGATTGGCAGAGAGGTAAATTAACACACTGTAGTAGTGGACTGTCACACGGCTGATGCCTGAGGATGGTGCAGGAGAGGACAGGGTTCCATAAGATGTCGCTAGGGTCACTAAGAGTTATAGTTGACTCATTGGCATCTAGCAACAACAGCATAGTTTCTAATGTTGTCAGTCTTTACAGAAGCAGACCGCTACATCTTTTTCCCAGAGAGTAGTTGGTGGGTTTGAGTAACAGACTTCCAGTTAGCACCTGAGCACTAACCATTTTGCCACCTGCATTCTGGATTATTCTTCAAAATCTGTTTAATAAAGGATTTTTAAGATGCCTGATAGATTGCTGAAGAACAACGACACAGCATCTGACACAGGCCTTGATCTTCAAAATTACTAGCTATGCGTCAAGAGGGCTGGACAGTGACTAATGATGATGGAGGGAGAATTGATGCCTTCGAGTTGTGGTGCTGGAAAAAGTATACCGTAGACTGCCAGGAGAACAACCAGGTCAGTCCTGGAAAGTGAAACCAAGCTGCTCCTTGGACACAAGGATTTTGAAGGTCTGACTCACATACTTTGGGCACATGACCAGGAAGGACCAGTCTTTGGAGAGGGATATTATGCTTAGAAGGGTGAAAGGACAGCACAGGTTAGGAAGACTGAGGATGAGATGGATTGATTTGGTGACTAGAGAAATAGGAGTAAGTAAGTCTATTGGCGACGATGAGACTGGCTGAGGATAGGGCAGGATTCAGAGCTGTAGTACATAGGGTTGCTATGAATCGCAAGCGACTTGACAGCATATACTACCATCACCACCACAGTAGAGTGCTAAGGACCCCTGGTGCTCTAGTGTGTAGAGGACTGATAATTGAAAGATGAGCAGTTTCAAAAAAACTGATGGAGAGATGGAC